TGCTTCAGGCGGCCACGAGTCTCTGGGTCCTGCAGTGAGTGGGGAACGAACGCGAGGGACCGCAACCGCGGGGACGCAGGGCGGAGGAAAGAACGGGCGAGAACCGCGGCGCGCGGTTAATCCGCAGGGCAGTCCCCGCGCGCCCCGCCAGGGGGAGCTGCCCGGCAACAGACGGAGGCGCTGGGGCCGGATAATTAGGTTTTACGTATATGATATTTGATCATGAAAATATTCCTGCCTTATTGCGGATAGGGGGGGGTCTCGTAATATATGTTAAAACGGTTAATTTTTTTATTATCTGCTTGCAACGGCCCGGCCCGCCCGAAACTGCCGGAGCAGCATCCGCTGCAAACGCGGGCGATGCTTGCAACGTTAAATCTAATTTTTCTGTGCAAAACCTAATTAGCCGTTTTAAAAAAGGTTAACGCCAGCGCCTGAGACGGTTTTTGTTTAATAATCCTATTACTGACGGCTCATCATGTATAAAACGGTGCGCTAGGATTGCAAAACTTCCCACTCGTGTATGCGCGCCTCGCCGGGAAATGCACACGGCGGAGACAGGTGCGAGGCGTCAGGGAACGTGAGTAGCCCCCCGTGCGCGGCCGGCCGGTCCCCGGGTTCGAGACCCCCCGCCGGGCACCGCCCGGACTCCCCGGTCCCCGTCTGGGTTCGGGAGTTCCTGCCATGCACTGCGCTAAAAAGGGTCGCAGCCTGGATGGTGCCAGGGGGCCGCCCAGGGGTTCAAGCAGGGTCCGCAGTGGTCACCCCCCGCCCCCCGACTCTTACCGCCTCTGCGGTGGGGGAGGGGGATCTGCCGCGGAACAGGGGGTCTGGGGGACCCCGGACCTCCCCGGAGAAACGAGCGAGGAGGGCGGTGCGCAGCGGCTCCCCGAAGCTGGAGGCGGGCTCGGCGTGCCCAAGGCGACGCCCGCGAGCCCTGGGTGGGGTGCGGTGGAGCGGGGTGGGGTGGGGGAGAGGTCTGGACAGTTCCAGCCACACCCTGGGGGTCTGTGCGGGTTGGGAAGGGAAAAACTGGGGCAGCGCCCCCCCTCCCCCGGGAGATGGTGGGGTCTCCGGGGAGCGGCTCTCAGTCCCCTGCGCCCCCGCGCGCGTAACCACAGCCTGGGGTGGGGGCGCCGAGCAGAAGAGACCCCCGCGGAGAGAGCGCCGGGGACGCAGCGAGGACAAAAGTGTCCAAACCTTCTCTGTTCCCCCCACCACCACCCCCGGCGCCCAGAGCCCCAGACCCGGGCGGGCGCGGCGACCCCCGCCGCGACCCCTCGCCAGCCCGGCCCGCGCGATTGCTAAGGAGACACGTTCTCCCGCGGCGCTGCGATCCCCGCGCCGTTTGGAAACGGATCCATCAGCGCGCACCGGGCGTGCAAAGGGGCCTTTTTGAAGGGACTTGTGGGAAAGGACAAAGGCGGACGGCCCCATTCAGCCGGCCAGTCAAAGGCGCTAAATGGGGACATCAAAAGGCGCCCCAACTAGGAATACGGATCCGATCGCCAGAGAAAAGAACCTGGTTTCTTTTCTTGGCCTCCACAAGGCTGAAAAGCCCTAAAGCAAATAGGCAAAAGAATGCGGAGGGGGGTTGAGGGTGGCAGAAAGGAAAAATAAAGAAACAATCTCATGAATGCATTTTTCTGGAGCTATAGAAGAGAGGAGTGACAACTTCCTAAGCGCTGTTGGGGGCCGGGCGCGGTGCGCACCCCGCGCCTCCCGGGCCAGGCGCCCTCGCTGCGCTCCGGGCAGACGCTCCGTTCTGTGCGCCTGTGATCCTACTTTTTTGTTTAAAATGCAGAAGAAGGGAAGAAAGGGAAGGGAGGGAAGAGGGGAAGGGAACGGGGAAAGTAGCTCAGGGCGCGAAGCCGAGTTCCTCTGGCCACTTTCCCGTGGCCAGGCCGCGCAGATCAACATCCGAGTCCCGAGTTGTGTCACCCGGCGTTCCCCGTCACATTTACGCCCCAGGTTATCTTTTTATTCCCAACCAGGTCATTGGGAAGTTGTTCTGCCCGCCAAGAGCGAACGGGAATGCCCAGCCAGACCGCTTATCTGCACCTGCCACGGTCCCCCGCGCGCCCCGGCTCCTGCGCGCCGGGCTCCCTGCCGTGCGCGGCCCGGACTGTGTTCTTTGCGCAGGGCGGGAAGGGAAGCGCAGTCCCAGGCCTCTCCCTCCGGCTGCCCGGGTTGGGATCAAAGACTAGCTGTCTGTCTGTCGGGTGACCCACAGATTTGCCGGGTGGCGGTACCGACCCGGGCAGTTCTCGAAGACAGAGGGACCCCACGCGTCCCGGACGCGAGCTCCTGCCGGGGATAAAAGGGTGCGGGTCCCTGGGAGCGCGGGTGGATGTCGAGGAGGAGGAGGAGGCCGGGGCAGCCCGGGGCAGGGGACCAGCGGGACCTGGCGCGACTTTGGTCTCAGCACGTGTTCTGTAAAGTCGCGACAGGTTACCAGCAAAGGGCGCGGCACCGAGGGTCAGAAGATGCCCCGCGCTCCGGGCCAAGCATACTGAGGCTGGCCAGTTGCTACGCTAGACCAAGCGCAACCCGAAGACGCCCCGCATCTGCGTGGGCGCAGAGTCTGGCCTTGGCCCCTGCCCGCCCCACAGTCGCCGGGGGACGAGTTCGAGGCCCGGGGAGGCAATGGGAAGAGACGCAGCGCCCGGGCGCGCGGTGGGTGGGAAAGAAGAAAAAAGGAATTCTCTCCGGGCACGGGGGCCCGCGCGCGGAGAGCCGGGCGGTCTCCCGGTTTCCCCACATCCCGGGTCCAGCTCAGCCCCTAAGTCGCTGTCCCAGGGAAAGGAAACAAACTGCAGGGTGTGGATTCAGACGGGACACCGGGTGTGAGCTGACGCCGTTATCCCCCAAAATATGGGGGACTCACAGTGCACCATCCTCAAATTGAGGCTCAATCGGACCGTCGGTTCTAAAGATCTTCTCGAGACAGAAATAGGTTTTGCCAAGCACGGTGGGTGGCTCGTTAAAATGGCCCACGCTGGGATAACCGGGGTGCCAGAGAGCACACCTTCGCTGGGGACTTTGGGGATCCCTTCGTTGCCCCAAGTCGGCGGCGGCGAGTGGGGGAGGATGCACCCCCTGCCTGCCTTTTGTCCGTGGGTGAGGGCTGCGCATCGTGGCAGCAGCCGAGCAGAGGGTGGGGGGGGGAAATTAATTGCAGCCAATTAATAATTAATCCCCTTTAAACAGCTTTATTATCCCGCCCGAACGACAGGGATTTGTCTGATAACCCCCCGAAGACTAAATGTCAAGTTTAACCAAATAGTTATTGCTTTATCAACCCGAGTCTGCAAATAAATTAATCAAAAGCGAATCTGTCCTTTTGTGCGGCTCATTTGCCGGTAATGGATGGGTATGAAGATGTGCCGATATTATTGTCTGTCATTCAATCTAACAAAGTGAACATTTATTGCATATATATTAAAAATTATCCCGGAGTCGAGTGGCGCCGGGTTGCATTTATTGGCGTCTTCCCAGGGGCGAGGTCCCCCTCGGATAGGATGGGGGCGCGCGGGGAAGAGGGGAGGCGCAGGGGCGCGCGTCCCAAGTCGCTTTCAGTCCCTGCGCCGCCGCCGGCCGCCGCCCCCTCCCCGCGCGTCCCGACCCTCCTCCACCCCCAGCCTTCGCCCTGGAGCCCGGTGGGGGAGGACACCATGCGGGCCAGGCCACCGCGTGTCGTGAGCCCGGGGCCTGGGGGGGGCGCGCCAGGAGCCACTGTCAAAACCGAGAGCCCGGAGCCCGAGCGCTCAGAAGGGGACCCGCCCCAGACAAATTTGGGGAGGAGTGTGATTGAGGAGAGAGAGAGAGAGAGAAACGGGAGGGGGGGCACAGCTCCTCTTTGTCTCCCCTCGGGTTACATCATTTTCTAATTAGGCATAAAATCGTCTGCAACACAGAGGCGTTGCGGCCTTCCTAGGAGCCTGGCCATTATGGGCCATAAGGACGCCATTGTGGCGCGCGCAGTCCCGAAATAGAAAGGGCTGGGGAGGGAGAGGCCTGGAGTCCCCGAGGCCCGGGCTTTGTCCTCCCCTGGGAGAAGATGGATGGCCAGTGTCACGCAGATGATGACTTTGGACTATTAAATTGTCACAAGGGCAAGAATCTTTACCAGCCTTCCCCCCCCAGTCCCCGCCGCCACCCAGCGCCGGTAGAACGTTCTAGAGGCAGGAGCCACAGGGTCTTGGGCGGGAGAGGAAGGCCGGGCAGCTGGAGGAGCGAGGACGGAGGCTGGAGGCTGGCACAGGCAGAGTGCAGGGGGGACTGGGGGGTCTGGCGATGCGCTGCCCTCCCTCCTCCTCCTCCTGCTCCTCCTCCCCAGAGCCCCGACTTGGGGTGCCATCTGAGCTCGGGCCGCACCTGGCCGCTAGCTGACCTCGCGCCCCAAGCCGGTCGCCGAGGCTGGGGGACCTGGCTGGCTGCAGAAACTACACGGGCAGCGCGCACGCGAGCGCGCAGCAGTTGCGCGCTGCTGCGCGGCGCGGGGAGACAATTGTTCCCATTATTATTCGGAGAGCCGAGGTCCAAGCCGGGCCACCAGCCCGGTCGGGGGTGGGGGCGCGACGCTAACTGGATAGAGATGGATGGAGGCGCCCTGAGCTCCCGGCGTCGTGTCAGACCCGGGGCAATTACTGTCCCGCCAGGCTGGACACACTGGCCGCCACCCTGACCCCGGCGGGCGCGCGGGCCCACTGGCGGCCCAAGCCGCGGGGCCGATTCTCTCTCTCCTCTCGCCTTCACAATCACCCGCCATACATAAATGACTCCCCTGCGCTTGTCTGCATCTGCTTGACCCCCGAACCCGCGCGGAAAACCGTGGTTGCATTTAGCTAACTTACATTATATATATATATATAGAGAGAGAGAGAGAGAGAGAGAGAGGGAAAAAAAGCTTTTAAAACTGCGCACTGGAGTTCCCTGTCTCGCCCACCTCTAGTTTGGGTTCTGGTGGAGCTTTGAATTCGCGTCGTTGCGAGACAAACCAGTTCCCGTCCACCGAGGCGGGTGGCCCCCAGCGGGTGCCGGGTTGGGGCGCGCGAGGCTGCCCTGAGTTTGCCAATGGGCTCCAGGCAGGGGTCGGGGTCTCCAAAATCCTCTTTCAGGGCCCGGTCCTCAGCTAGGGGTGGGGGTGGAGAATGGGGGGGCCCGGAGAGGAAAGAGCGCAGCTCTCGCGCGCGCTGACCCTCTGCTCGGCCCCCAGTGTTTCGGGGTGCGGCTGGGTGGGCCAGGCCCGCGCAGGGGCAGGGGCAGCCTGGCGCCTCTCACGGGCGCGCCCTCTCTCTGGCTCGACTTGGCCAGCGGGGGAAGCGCGGAAGAACGAACCACTCTGGCGCCAAGAGCTGCCCTTGCCAGACGCCAAGGCCGGCGGGAGCTGGCGGTTGTAAGAGGGTGGGGGAACGGTTCCGAAAATTCCGGGGGGAAACCGCCTGGCCAGGTCACTCCAGCTAGCGGGGAACGCCAGGGCCAGCTTTGCGCTTGGAGGCTTGCTCTGGGTAGGTGATGGGGGTGGGGTGCGGGGTGAGGCTGGTGCCACTCTGCCTTCCTGCCAGTCACCTCCTGCTTGCTCAGGTCCAGCTGGCCACAAGTCAGAGGATCTGGGCAGGGGTCTCAGAACTTCAGAGATGGAGGGTGGCTCTCCCAGAGCCCCAAGTGTGAGGCATAGAAAGTTTCATCCACCCCCCAACTGGGTCAGGCCTCCTGACTGCTTCTGACTTCTGCTCCTGCAAAAGAATATAGGAGGAGCTAATAGGGCCAGGCCCTGGCCAGAGTCAGTCGCATTGAATAGGGCCTGTGGCCTTGGCTGTCCTTCTTTAAAACCAGTGGGAGGTGGCAGTCGCAGGAACAAGGCCTTAACTTAGCAGCTGCATGAAAACAAAACAGTAATCTCAGGGCTCCAAAACTCTGGGGCCAGTTTTTCCGATAACATGTCTTCTTTCCATCAAAAAATAAAGTAAAATATAAATCATCTTTTAAATATCCAAATATCTTGCATGTGGCACTGTTCCTGTCATTGGAGGTGGTAGGTCCACACTGGTATCTCTGATGAGTCTTCCTCATCTCATTCGTTCCTTTACCAGACGTTAGTCATTCTGTAATGAACTCCACAAATATTTGTGAGGAGGTCATCCCGTGTGAGATTTTTAAAAAAAAAAGAAAAAAGAAACTGCACCCAAGGAACTTGCAATTGCCTTGGGAGAAAAACGAAGCGTAGTGGATTCTGAAGGGTTTCTGACGGTCACTTGTTGGAGGGACCACAGGGTTCAGGTTCAGCCTAGACGGACCAGGTCCTGACTCGGGGACCTGGGTCAGGCACTGAAGGAATCTGAGCCTCAGTTTTCTCATCTGTGAAACGGGGGGGCGTTGGACACGTGCAGTCAAACCCACCTCCCTAAGTTCTCTAAGTTCTCTAAAACACGCAGTATTCCCAGCCCAGATTGGAATGAATCTCAGAGTGCTGGCACAGACCTGAGGAAGATTAGATACCAGTTTCCGGCCATGCCCCACGAACTTCAAATTCCAAAGAGCCGGGAGGACAAACTACAGGGACTACTATACGGTGAAGCACAGGCCAGATTAGGAATCTGATTGCCGTAGACTATGGAAAGGTCGGCGGCTTACTTGATTTTTCTGAGTCTGCTTCCTCCCGCATCCAGTGGGAACCGTAGCGTCTGGCCCTAGTTGCTCTACGAAGTAGCTGTAAGAATCAACCCTGACACAATGTAGGTAAATGTTTTGGAAACTAACAGGCACCATGGAAATTTAAAATACAGACCTCTCTGGAAGACACCTCCAGTGAGGGTTGCCTGGAGGATGGGTCTCCTCTTTTGTTTGGGACTGCAGCAGTTACAGCATGGGCAGCAGCTGCACATAACTGGACATATCACTTGCTGTGCTCCTCCTTCTTCTCCTTGATTTTTATCATCTCCCTGTGGATACTAAGCAGTCTTTTTCACCTGTAGGTGAAGTCCCAGAGAGACCTAGCACACAGAGTAGGAATATGTGCTCCAGGAAGCTTCTCTGATTGGAATTTAAGGATTCTGCTGCTTGGAAGTTGCCTTGACAATAAGATTTATTGTTGACTGGGGGAAAAAAAAAGTGAGGAAAGTGGAAAAAGTCTTTGGAAGTTTCTTGGCTGATCTTTCCTTCTGGCAAAAACACACATTTTTATTCTTAGCAGGAAAAACAAAACAAAAAAGCAAACTGTTCTTTTCATAAATATGTTGTTGGCTAAGAACTTGTTGTTGGCTTACTTGGGTTAGGAAGGTGGGTTAGGGAGAGGAAGTGAATTTTTTTTCTTTTTCTTTTTTTCTTTTTGAGACAGAGTCTCACTCTGTTGCCCGGGCTAGAGTGAGTGCCGTGGCGTCAGCCTAGCTCACAGCAACCTCAATCTCCTGGGCTCAGGTGATCCTCCTGCCTCAGCCTCCCGAGTAGCTGGGACTGCAGGCACCCGCCACCATGCCCGGCTAATATTTTTTTCTATATATTTTTAGTTGGCCAATTAATTTCTCTCTATTTTTAGTAGAGATGGGGTCTCGCTCTTGCTCAGGCTGGTCTCGAACTCCTGACCTTGAGCCATCCTCCTGCCTCGGCCTCGCTGGGATGATAGGAGTGAGGAAGTGAATTTCAAAAGAAACTTTACTTCCTTGCTGAATTGGGTGGAGGGAAACCACAATGGGGGTTGGGAGAAAAGACTTTGATTCTTTCGAGAAAGTGGGTGCCTCTGAGGAGGAAATCTTGGAAGGAGGGAAACGGGGAGGGGAAGGGACCCCCCCCCAAGAAGGACTAGGTCCACCTTTCTTCTTACCGATGGTCTGAATGCCGGGCAAACCAGCTAGCAACAGATTCATCCCTGTGGGCCTGTGGAAACAAAATGTTCCAGAAGGTTCTCAATTAGGGACGCTGCCTTTCCTTTCATTCTCTTAACTTTTGTGTTAAACGTCAGCAACCTCATGCTATCTATTATGGTGCCATCATCACAGAATGTTGACGGGACTGGTTCTTTTATCTCCATTATGGGGCTGCCTCCCTGGCAGATTTATGCATTTTGGATGTCGAATTCTTTCTCTCCTTAAGCCTATCGCTCTTGTTGACTTTCGTTGACCCCCCTGGCCCTGGCCCCCAATACTTTTCCATATTTAATACTGACACTTTTTTTTTTTTCTCCACGGCCCCTCTTGGCTTTGTGGCCACCCGCTGGACAGCCGTCCCTAATGGCCTGTGCTGTTTGCTCTGTTCTTGAACTTGGCGAGGGTCACACATTCTTAAACAGTGATGTCCTCTGCCTGTCCACCCTTGCTGTCCAGCTAAGTTGCCCTGTGTCCTAAGCTCTGCCCTTTCTACTGCCCCTAACTACCAACCACCGCCCCTAATCGCTTAAACAAACACCTTCCCCAGGGCTGGCCCCCGGGGGGGCCCCCTGAGCCTTTTGGGTTTTTGTTTGGCTGCTAATGTTCCCGCCGGTCCAGCCCGGCTTGGCCTCTCTGACCTGATGCATCCTTCCAGCGGCTCTTCTCCTTGGAGCGCCAGCCCTGTCCAGCGCCCGCCAGAGGCCAAAGGCCAGGGCCTGGCCCGGACTGGCCAGCTGCTTGAGGTGGCCACAAAAGACAACTTCAGCTTGGAGCCGGGGCAAACGAAATGTATTCATTTATCTTTCTTTTCCCACCCCTCCAAAAAAAAAAACCTATCCACCGACTCCATGCACTGCCTGGCTTGACACCAGACAAAGGGAAAAATACCCCCCTCCCTCGGGAAACCCGGGCAGGGGAGGCCCTGGTCTGACACCAGGAATCTCAGCTCCCTTCTTGGGGAGCCAGTCTGTTCAGCTTCACGGACACTCTGCAAGGCCAATTTCCAGAATTGAAGTCGCCTGGTGTTTTGATTCTTCCTCTGCCGTCCGCATTTGTGCCCGGAAGGTCCCTTCCAAATGGATACTAATTGTCGGGGGGCCGCACACGGCTGGCTTCTCCAATGCCCCAGGGCCCCCGAGGACCTGCTTCTCAAAGCCTTAATTGACAAGGACCTGTCTGTGTTTAGGAGCAGCTGCTCCGGGGCGCTGGCACACCATCCGCGCGCGCAACCTTCCCCGCAGCCGCCCTAGCCCCGAGGAGGAAGAGGGTAAATGCGGTTAAAAATGAAGGAAGATTTATAGCCCGGGCCCCCCCCCTTCTCCCCTTGGGTAATGCGACAGAAGACAGCTCCCAAGACTTTTTTCCCCCTACGAGGCGGGCTCATTCATCAGCGGCTCCCAGGCCTGGCGCCCGGGGAGGAAGCGCGCACAGCCTCCGATGACTAACTCAGAGGGGGATGGGAGCAGGGTGGCTCAGAACAGAACTAGGCAGGTGACACTATCCCATTCGAATGCATGGTCACCCCCCGCCCCCCAGAAACGGACTGGGGGTTCGCAGGCTGTTGTCAGGGCTGTCCCTCGCCCCCGCGGGCGCTCGGCGGGCGCCGGTGCCTGCGCCCGCCCGGGTCTGGCTCTGGGTCACTCCGTGGCGCCAAGGCGGGCCGGGCAGGGACAGGGGACCGCGCTCTGGCTCCGTGTCCCCGGGAACAGGGGGGCGCTCAGCCGCCCTTAGACTCCTCATTGTAGGGGTGTGTGTGTGTGTGTGTGTGTGTGTGTGTGTGTGTGTTTGAGAAGCTTAAAAATGAAAGTGGTTCATTCAAAATCTTTTAGGAAAAAGACAGATTAACTCTATCTTCGGTTAATTCCACCCAATTTACAAACTCTAAATGAAAATGCTAATTGCCCAGTCATTCTAAAACTTTCTGAGATGAAAATCTATGGCTTATTTATTTATTTATTTCCCCCCAAATTCTGTGGGTACAGATATTGTTAGGGTTACATATCTTGCCCCTGCCACCCCTCCCCAACCCCCGCTCTGCCAGAGTGTCCAGTCTCCAAGCGGTGCGCCCTGCACCCACCATGAAAGTGCGTACCCTTCCCCTTCTCCCCACTTCCACCTGTTCACCTCCCATTAACAAAAAAAATTTTTTTTTTGACATTTTGGTTACAGTGTGTTTCTTTGCCTCTCCCTAAAAGGGGGTAGAGGTAATACTTCCCCCCTCCACTACAATGCTCTTGGGAGGGGGGTGTTTAAAAAGCCCCAAACAGCGGGTGGCAGGGGCCGGCCAGTGGGGTGGACCTGCAAGTCCCCTTCCTGTGCCCCCGCGGTGCGCGCCCCGGGGCTCCCCAAAGCGCCTTTCGGAGAAACCTGCTGGCCCCGTAGACACGGCCATTCAGCCAGCGACAAAGAAGGTTTACTGGTTCAAGAGGAACCCGGTTTTGTTGGTGGTATGTGTGGGAAATACTTTGATGTCCGCCCGGTTCGCACGCGTGAACAGGGATAATGGCTTTCGCGGGTCTTCATTGAATTTTGAAGTTTTTTTTAAAGCAGAAATTCCCTAACTTTTTTGCCTGTTTTTTTCTCAACTTCTTCTTCTTCTTCTTTTTTTTTTTTATTCCTGCAGGAACAATGCCAACATTGAAGGCCTCGGTTGGAGTCTTCACAGTTGGAGATCTTTGGTGCCATTTTAGACATCTTTGGATTTCATCAATCAAACTGACTGCAATTTTCCATAAAAAACCCCTGAATTTGGGTCAGAAAGTGGGCAAAGTAGATAAAGATCTCGTTCGAGCTGTCTTATAAGATGATAAATAGATACCCTTTCAGGCCAACAATCCCAAAGTGCAGTTTTGTGATTCCCTTCCATGCGTTCTGAATGCAGTGCGTCTAACCGATTTATCCATGTTTTCCCATGGTTTGGGGGGGGGTGTCTTTACATACTTGTCAATAGTTGCCTGACCTTTTTTTTTTTTTTTCCCCACTGAGTTGCTAAAAGTGTTTGTTGTTTGGGGGTATTTTTATTTTTTTTTCTTGTGTTGTGTGTGTGTGTGTGTGTGTTTCCCACAAAACACACAAGAAAAGAAAGTTCTTTTCTTTCTCTTTCATTGCTCAAATCAATAGCCATATGGGTCTGATCTAGATAATTCTCTGCAAACAAGACCGGTGGCAGTGGCTTGTGAATCCGGGGCTGAGACTCCTCTGGCTGGAGTGAGAGGCACTGTTGACACCATTCTGGACGCCACGCTGGGACGTAAACTCGTTTTTCTCTCCACACCAACACCACCACCACCACCCACTGGCACAGTGTCTTTCTTATTCTTGAACTTGATGAATGGACTTTTGTGTAAGGTGAATGAAAGGGAAGCCCTAAAAGAAACAGCAGAAAGAAACCCCCAAAAGATATTATTAACCCACTACCTCCAGAGACCTCTCAAATCAGAGCTGAAATAATTTCTGAGTGAATAAGAAGTGGTTTTTTTTTTTTTATATCTTTCCTCTTCGTGATTAAAAAAAAAATCTGTTTTATTCAGCCAATAATACATGACACCTTCTCCTCACTCTCTCAGTTGACTTCCCCACATCTTTGGGGTTTTTTTATTTTTTATTTATTATTTATTTATTTATTTATTTATTTATTTATTTATTTATTTATTTATTTATTTATTGTGAGACAGAGTCTCACTTTGTTGTCCAGGCTAGAGTGAGTGCCATTGCGTCAGCCTAGCTCACAGCAACCTCAGTCTCCTGGGCTCAAGCGATCCTCCTGCCTCAGCCTCCTTCCGAGTAGCTGGGACTACAGGCATGCGCCACCAGGCCCGGCTAATTTTTTCTATATATATTTTTAGTTGGCCAATTAATTTCTTTCTATTTTTTTTAGTAGAGACGGGGTCTCACTCTTGCTCAGAGCTGGTTTTGAACTCCTGACCTTGAAGTGATCCGCCCGCCTCGGCCTCCCAGAGTGCGAGGATGACAGGCATGAGCCACCATGAGAATCCGCTTGACCCCTCCCCTCAAAACGTTTTCATCTTGATAATCCCTTCACTCAGTGTTTCTAGTTTACCAGGCATTTTTTAAAGGTTCTTGAAGAGTTACTGGTTCTTCGTGGAGAAACCATGCTTGCCACTCTTGGCTATTGATGAATTAATGATATGATGTGTCTTCTCAAGTCCATACATCTTGTGGAGGTCAGACACAATTATGCAGCCAGTACAAAAATGTAGAAATTTTTTCCTCCTGTATCCATCACACAGACATCATCTCTCTTCTGTGCTTTGCTTTTCCTAACTCATTAAATATCAAATGTATGTTACAAAGCATCTATAGAAGAGAGCAAGGCACAGTGGGAGTTAATTACTATTATTAACTTACCGGCTTTATTAGTTTTGAATGAGGCACATAGCTGTGGCTACAATTATTTAAATACTCTTTATTAGCCAACATAATTTACAATTTTTGGACATACTCTCCCCATGTAAAATTTAAAATGGCAATTGGAGATTCAGGGGGGAAAAAAGTATTTTCTGCATTTCAAGAAGACTATTACAAGATAGCAAATTCATGAAAGGAAAAAAAACCACAATTATTTATCATAATTATCTAAAACAGACCTATTTAAGTATGTTTAATATTCTTCCTATTGCCCTCTCTCTCTCTTCTAATATTTATTTTAGACATATCTATAGGTATATATGACTCTATTTAGTAAGTAAGAAGGGGAAGGGCGGGAGTGGAGTGGAAAAGCTAAAAGTTGTAATTTTGTAAGTTATCTCCAATCAGGATAAAGCATATCTGAAATCATTATATAAATGGAATGGTAGAGGCCGGGTGTGGTAGCTCATGCCTGTCATCCTTGCACTCTGGGAGGCTGAGGTCGGAGGATCGCTCGAGGTCAGAAGTTCGAAACCAGCCTGAGCAAGAGCGAGACCCCGTCTCTACTATAAATACGAAAGAAATTAATTTGGCCAACTAAAATATATAGAAAAAATGAGCGGGCATGGTGG